AAATGCATTTCAGCAAGAGTGGATAGATTATTAGGCTTCCTTGATGGAAAAACAGATTCCCTCAGTACAACAACACCCACCTCCCTAGATATAACTCTGTTCATAACCCTATCCTCCTCACTTTTCAAGAAATTCAGTACCAATGCAGGAAAAGGAAGGCTTCTGAAAAACCTAAAAGGTTTGAGATTATTTGGTTAGAATCCCTTGAAACCAACAAAATAATATATGATACCTGGAACTCTGATAACAATCAAGATATAAACCTCAAGCTATCCTACACTCTAAATACCCTTTGGAATTGGGGAACCACAAAGTATGCCCATCCTTCTAAAGAGATTATAGCTATAAGAAATCACCACAAGCATCTTCAAGACAATAACATTCAGAATAGGCACATAACTCAACTTCAGGAGAGTCAAATGAAAATTGATGCCATGCTTCATCAGGAAGAAATATGATGGACCCAACGAGCCAAAATCCATTGGCTTATAGAGGGCGACAACAGAATTACAACTACGGATAAAAGAAATGATGATATTACTTTTAAAGAGGAGGAAATCTAAGACATTATTTTATAGTTCTACATGAAACAATTCACTACTGAAACCTATAGAATACATGAAGATTGCTTCCCCTCTGACTACCAAAAATGCACCAAGGATATGATTGATAACCTTAACTCCTCTTTCACTCAGGATGTGAGTATCCAAGCAGTTATCCAACTAAAAGGGAATGCTTTCCATGGCCCAGATGGAATGACATCTAGATTCTACTAAACTTATTGGGAGATAGTGGGAGAGGAGGTCACCTAAAACATTCTCAAAGTCCTTAACAACCATGAGAGCCCCTAAAGTTTCAACAAGACCTTTATCACTCTCATTCCTAACAATAAAAATCCTTCCAAAACCATTTATTATAGACCCATATCCCTTTTCAATGTCATCATGAAAAAATCATTACTAAAACCATAGCCAATAGATTGAAGCTTATCCTTCCTAATCACATCAGTGAGAATCAAAGTGCTTTTGCACACAAGTGACTCATAACGGATAACACTATGGTCGCTTTTGAAGTCTTTCATCACATAAATAAGGTCTCTAAAAGAAAGAGGGGAATGGTTGGCATAAAATTGGACATGGTAAAGGCTTACGATAAGTTGAATTGGAATTTCATAAACAAAACTCTGAATAATATTGGTTTCCCTAAGAGGTTTACAAAGTTAATTATGGAATGTGTGACCACTGTCAGCTTTCCTATCCTTACCAATGGTTACCCCACATAGTACTCTCAGCCATCCTGTGGAATTCGACATGGAAATACTCTCTCTCCATATCTCTTTATATTATGTGTTGATGTTTTTTCCAATAATATTAATAAATCCATGAAAGATAACTACTTTAGAGGAATATCTATTGCTAGAAGAGCTCCTAAAATTACTCATCTATTTTTTTGTAGATGGCATCCTAATCTCCTGCCAAGCTGAGAAACAGGAAGAAAACACTCTTAAGGATCTGATCAAGAAGTATCAAGACAGTTCAGAGCAAAGAATAAACCTCCTTAAGTCCCAAATAATGTTCAACAGCAACACCCCTAATGAAAAAAGAGAGATCTTCACTGCAACCCTTAACATACCTACTATTACGGAAATCAACACTTACTCGGGTCTTCCAACTTTCATAGGAAAATCTAAATTCAGAAGTTTTAACTTCCTGCTGGACAAGATTGGAAACAAACTCAACACTTGGAAAAGCCAACATATATCCTATGCAGGCAGAGTTACTTTGATTAAAGCAATAGTTCAGGTTATCCCCTCTTATGTGATGAGCTCATTTCTTTTTTCTAAAAGTCTCACAGACAAAGTGGAAAGCCTAGCTGCTAGATACTGGTGGGGGAGAATAAAATTCATTAGGAAAAATTGAGACCAACTATGCAAGAACAAGGAAGAAGGTGACCTACGAGTTAGGAAACTGAAAGAGTTCAATGAAGCTATGTTGGACAAGCAGGTATGGAGGCTCTACATTGATCCACACTTTCTAGTGGCCAAGGTCTTAAAAGCCAAATATTATCCTAATTAAGACATTCTGAAAGCTAAGGTAGGTCGAAATCTTAGCTATCTATGGAGAAGCCTAGCTTACAACATTTGATATAATTAAGAAAGATAGTTGTTAGACCATTGGGAATGGTCAAAAAGTTAACATATGGGAAGGCTACTGAATACATTATCCGTGTAGGTGTGAAGTCCTAACACAAAGGCCCATGGATACAAGGACCCTTGGAGTCAGGGACCTTATTGATAGGGAAAACAAGTGTTAGAACCAAAATGAGCTTAATAATAATTTTCTAACTATAAACAGAACCTACATCAACAACATTCCTTTAAACAACCTAAATGAAGATGGGATGTACATGGTTAAATCAGGGTATCATAGCACTAGGGAGTGGAAGAAAATACAGGAAGAGAAGAGCTCCAACAAAGAAGTGGAGAAAGAGGTTTGGAAGAAGATATGGACTAGCAAGGTCCCACCTAGGAAAGAACTTCTCATATGGAGATTGTTTTCGAACTTGCTGCTAGTTAAAAGCAACCTCAGTAAAAGAAATATTCCGACAGACTACCTTTGCCTTAGATGCAAGGAATCAATTGAAAATTTGGATCATTGCTTCATGGAGTGTTGGTGGGTGAAATATGTCTGGTTTAGATCCCCATCAATATAAATTTCAACAATAATAAGCAGGCACACTTTGTGGATTGAAGCATAAAAATTTTAGCAGCATGACAAAAGATCAGATAAAAATGTATATTCACATAACAGACAATATTTGGAATGCGAGAAACAAAGCTATGTACGAAAATAAAGACATACATGCCTTAAGCTGATACTAATGCTCGTAGAAGCTACACTGAGTACCACAACAATTACTCCCATCCTCACCAGGACATCCCCAATGATCCCAAGACAAGTTGCCAAAGGATTAATGGTCAAAAGTATCAGAAGATTGGCAGAGTAACAACTAATAACAACAATAAGTAAGGAAATAATACTCACATGGAGAACATTAAGAGGAAAGATAAGGACCTTAATCAAAACAGGACACACAATATAATCCTCTTCAACAACAAAAAATATAACTAGAATGACCAACCTAATAGAAACAACCAAGGTAGAAATCAAATAGAAGGTATAGGAAAAGACAAGCAACATACTAAAAGGAATGAGGATAATACTCATATGGGGCTCCAAAAGCATATGTTAGGCGACAACAATAAGGAGATCATCAATTACATGGAGGTGAGATATGCTATCCAAATGGAGCGAGAGGCCAATCAAGATATCTATCGCAAAGACCAACATAAGCATGACAACCTTAGCTGCATGGAAGAGGCCAATTTGAAAAACCAAGAGAATCCAAACATCAATTAGGATGTAAATAATAGAAAAAGCAATCATACGCAGAAAAATCACAAGAATAACCAATTAGGGAACATCAATCAAGGAAATCAGAAGAAGACATAGTACAATAACAACTGCACAATCTTGGAAAATCAAAATCATAATATAATTAACATAAACTACAAACCAGATACAGATCAAACCAAGAAGGTGAAGGATTGCAACAATAACTGGGAAAATTCAAACCGAGAGTGAACTACGATTAACATTAATGCATGTTTTGTGGAAGAGGGATTATGGGGTCTAAGAGAGTCTATATGCAACGACAAGGGTGAAATCATTGGCGAACACTCCTTTAGAGTTCAAGGAGACAAAGATCCTACCACTGCTAAGGCCATGGTGATGAAAGTTGCCATGGAGCGAGCTCTAACATAGGAAAGAACTAGAGTGGTGTTCTAATCGGACAGCAAGAATCTGATAAACGTCAAGAATGGAAGTGAAAAATATATACATAGAAATGTAGTGAGCATGCACTGCAGAGGAATGTGCAAGATGAAAGAATTGTTTAAAAATGTGAGGTTTGTTCACATCCAAATAGAGAGAAACGAAGCGACGCACATGATAGCTAGGGTTAGAATCTCTTAAGAGTTTAGCAAAGCAAAATCCGAATTTTTATAATAACGGGTCATAGGTCCACCTAAATCATTGTGATAACGGGCCAAAGGCCCAGTTGTAAGGTTGTTTTTGTAGGCATAGCCTTTTTATAAAGAAATAGCTTTCTTTTGTTATGTTTTTACATTTCTTCACTTAGAGAGAAAAAAAACCATACAATTTGAGAAAAGAAAACATTGGCCAAAACAAATAACAATTTTCTCGTAATATAAATATTGTTTCGTTATATATATATATATATATATATATATATATATATATATATATATATATATATATATATATATATATATATATATATATATATATATATATATATATATATATATATATATATATATATATATATATATATATATATATATATATACTGAAATTACTTCCATCACTAGTAATTTCCAGAATTCAACCATAGTTTCTTTGTAATTTCAAGTTTTCAAAGCCGGTTCTTGTATTCTCAGTCTCGCATATTAGTCTATTCCGTATGAGCCACATTATTATAAATTCTTCTTATGTGCTCTTTTATCAAACAACAGCATGTTGTCTTTTTTAAAAGTAAACGGGGAAATTCACAAATACTACGTAATATATTAGATTAAATCCTAATATATTGAATATGCAATATAATTTTTTCATATAATTATATCAAATTCTATCAGAAGTTTCCTTATTTATATTAATAAAATATTAAATATTTCAACTAAACATAAAAAAAAATTCACATGTGGATTTCAAAGCTCAGACTCAAAAAGAGACGTATAAAACCAAGCAATTCAAGTGTCGTCTCTTCGCTAATTACCTCTTGCCAAACTTGTGTTAACAATACAGAAGAACAACAACAACAAAAACTCACAGCTTTATATATCTATATACTATAGTTGGTTAATTAGTACAAAAAATAAATATATATTTGATTAAGCTTCACTTAATCAATTAATCATGGAGTTTTTCAATAAATCAAAAGTGATTAAGCTTCGAAGCCATCTAGATAAGTACCTAATAGTAGACGACAACAAAATCAGCAAAATCAAAATCCGTCAGGATCGAAACGGAACGGTTAGAAGGGCTGAGTGGACTGTAGAAGAAGTACAGAATTATCCTCACGTCATACGGTTAAAGAGCTATAACGGAAAATACTTAACGGCAACGGAAATACCGTTTCGGTTAGGCGTGACGGGAAAAACGGTTATATTAACGGAGTTAGAAGAAGGTTTAGTAGATGGAAAAAATGAGTGGGAACCGATAAGGGATGGGTTTCAGATAAAGTTGAGGAGTTGGTGCGGGAAGTATTTAAAGGGAAACGGCGGAGCTCCGCCGTGGAGGAACAGTGTAACGACGGATGATTCGTTTGGTTCCGTGAAACATGATTCTGTTCTGTGGGATGTTGAAGCGGTGGTGGTGGAAGAGAATATGAATGAAATAGTTTTTGAGAGGTTGTTATCGTCTTTTGCTTCTGATGATGTTTCTTTTGAATCTGATACGGAGTCTCCGGTGTCTGTTTTCTCCCTTTCGTCGCCGCCGGCAAGAGAGAATTTTCAGGTGCGTTTTCCTTTATATTAATTATTTTAATTTTGTTCTTTTATTAGTGTTAATTAAATTTTACTTTTGTTTTTGAAAATTCCAATGTTGAAAGAAACCGTGGCCTTGTCTACTTCGCGGTACTAGTATATTACAGCAGCAAACTAAATTTAATTATGTTAATAAATCAATATAATTAAAATCTAAACTAATAGTGTTATTAGTAAGGGTGGCAAATAGCATGTCCGCTCAGTTTATTTCCATTTTACAAAAGTCATTAAAAAAATAGCCATAGTATAGTTAAAAATACAGATTTAAAATTTATTTCTTTTTACAAAAAAGTGAGAGCGAGAGCAGACCGAAATAAATTTATTTTACTACATCTTTTAAGTTAAAAAATATAAAATTTTATTTAAATGTATGTATTCGCAAAAACATGTGAAAAAAAGTGTGAGACATAGAGACATATTTGAAGGCAAGAGTCCATTTTGCCATCTTTAATTATTTTAGTTTTTTTTTTTCTTTCAAATATGCATTAGTCTAATTAAAATAATATTTTATTTATAATATTCTTATATTTAAATCATTAATAAATGTTTTTGTCTTTCTTAATATATTATAGTTTAAGTATACTTTAGCTTATTGATTGGTCAAAGAAATTAATTATCATTTATTATAATTTATTTTATGAGCTGCTTTTATCTTTTTATTCTTAATATATTAATTTACTAGAATAAATATTAATTTTTTAAATATGCAAATTAAATAAAAATATTGACTATTATGATTGTTTTCAGAATAATTATGTATTTAATTTAACTATTAACTTTTGTTATTATAAAAAATATATTTATATTTTATTACAATTTTTGTTAGTGAATGCAGAATAGAACAGAAAAACCCGGAAATCGGCCATTGTTAGAAACAGAGAATCCATTTTTTATAATTAAAGGCAGGATAGGGATATATTGGTGGCGATTTAAATGGACTCATTTAACATTAGATTAATTACCATCTCATAGATATGTTTTTTGCCAAAGAAATTAATCTTTTTCATATTTTATTACATGATGGTGATGACTTAAATGGACTCATTTAACATAATATGATCCATGCCTATTTGTTATGTGCTTTCACACCCTATTTTCCACTAAAGAAAATGCGATAACACACGTCACACACAAATTGTTTTCACAACAATAACCGCACTCTTTTAATGTTGGAGACAAGTGGCCGATATATGCATATTCAAGTATATCTTTTGAAGACATCGAACATATGATGTAACGAAAAATAAAACTGAATATAAAGTTATGGCATTAGATGTTTTCTTGTTTCTAATGAATACTTACTGAATCGTATATTAGAAGAACGTTATTTTGAATATTATTGATATTGTATTGAAGTTCTCCATTGTTGTAGTTTTTGGACAGTTGGATTATAAATGTGTTTAGATACCATTATTATTTGAACTAGTTTTTGAAATGCTATTCAAATCATAACATTATCTAAAAAAGTATTTTTCTTAACCACTCAAAGAAATTGTTTTACACGTATATTTGTTGGGAGTTATACACCTTCATTGGTAGGTAAAATATTGAGTGAATGAAATGATACCCAGATGTGTTTGTATTGTGCATAGAGAGAGAGTTATCTTTATTTTATTTTAAGTATATGGTTGGTTAGTTATCGTTAAAAAATATGGTTAAATTTAATTCAATTTTACAAATTAAGGGTAATTATTGTCTCAATTTAAAAAAATATATTATATATATTATCTAATGAAGAATTCTTATCGTTATAATTCAATCGTAACGTAACAACTATCAATTTTATTTAGCTATGACATATTATAATGTTCTAGTTAACCACAAACTAATAAAAGTTTTGATTTGTAGCTCATTTTTTCACACTCTCAAAGTAATTTGCATAAAAAGTGTCACAAAGGTTAATCTTAAAATTTTTTAAAAATGAAATCACTAAGAAAAAAAATGAGAATATAAAAAGACTTTTTATACCATTGAATTTCTTAGAAATAGAGATACTAGTTAGCTAAAATAGAAATAAAGACGAGTGAGAATTAATGATGTTAGACTAAATCAAGTCAAAGATATAAAATGGCCATATTAAATTTTAGTAAAATATTTCCTATCACAATAAGTTAAACTTTCAAAATAGTAGAAAAAACACAAAAATTATATGATATTGATAATTACATTTAGAATTGATGATTAATATTCTAATTTAAGTAAATCGAATAGAAAATAGAAAGTGGAAATATGAATCTGGATTCAACCAGAAATTGTAATTGGTTTGTATGAATACATGTAATTGGAATCCATGTATCTATGCTAGGTATTTTAGTAGAATTGAAGTCAGTTCCTTACAAGATTGTTATTTTCCCAAAAAAATCTAACTAGTAATATTTAGTGTATGTTTCATGCATTTGGGTGGCATTAGCTTCTACATCACGTATTGTTTCTTTTCATTCTCGTATAATTCTATATTGCTATTTTATTTTTTTCTATTTGAAAACGACACTGGAGAAAGAAAACGAAAAGTAGAGGCATAAACCAAATACCCCCTTAATTTCTTTGATATAAACAAACACGCCAAGGCAACCGCAACCCGACAAATAGCATTCTTTCAACTTCCATTATTAGATCTCATCAATGAATTTGCAAAAATCATTTCATTATTGAATATTTGCCATATCTATATGAGACTAGGTGTCAACTTTAGGTCGGTATGAAACTATGAATAATACCCATTGAATGTATGATCACATCAAATTAACTCAATAATTGTTGGATATCACTATCAGATTAGCAAAAGTATTCAAACCGCCATAAATTTATTTACCATCTCAACAGTAACTAATAAAAACAAAAACAATGAACATTACTCATGAAAACCACACGTAGAGAACCTGTCTCAAACAGACGCAACCTAAATTGAACCCAAGAGATTAGTATTATCCACGCAATCACCACGTTCACCCAAACGTGTTGTCTCAGTTGCCACTTCTGACTGTACCAACACACCTTTTCATCCACAAAACTTAACGCATCACACCTTTTCATCCACAAAACTTAACGCATCACACCTTTTCATCCACATATATAAAACCACCACCCACTCTTCCACACCTCAACACAAATCCTCTTATTCTATCCAAAACTTTCAATTTCATTCAACACTACTAACCTTCTTTAACTATGCAGACAACAAAACCCAACAAGCTACGAACTGGAATGGATTTCTTCCACAGAGCAAAAGCAGTCCGTCTCAAAAGCCACCACAACAAATACCTTCTAGCAGAAGAAGATGAAGAATCCGTCACACAACACAGGAACGGTTCCTCAAATAACGCTAAATGGACTGTCGAGTATGTCCCAGATTACGACAACGTTATCCGTCTCAAAAGCTGTTACGGTAAATACCTCACAGCTTCCGACCAGCCTTTCCTTCTCGGCATGACCGGTCGGAAAGTTCTTCAAACAATTCCAAATACAATCGATTCTTCTGTTGAATGGGAACCCGTTAGAGACGGAGTTCGTGTGAAGCTGAAGACACGGTATGGGAATTTTCTTAGAGGGAATGGTGGGTTGCCACCGTGGAGGAATACTGTGACGCATGATATTCCTCATAGAACTGTTACTCAGGATTGGATTTTGTGGGATGTTGATGTTGTTGAGATTAATGTTAGTAACCATGGTTCGGATCCAGCTTCTGAAAACAACAACGCTCCCTCACCTGCTGTTGTTGTGCCTACTGTTTCTGCAAGCTTTTCTAGGCAACAGGTATTGTTTGTTCTTTGCAAAGTTTCAATTTTTTCAATTGGGTTGTTTTGGTTAAGCTTTGTTTTAATTGTGTTTGGTTTTGTTTGCAGTCTAATGAATCGAGTGTTGGTGTCTCTCCAAAGACGAAAGAGGGTAGGGTTATATACTACCATGTTGCTGAAGATGATAGAGAGGTGAGTGATGAAGGTGTGGAAGGTTATTCTTTGGTTTTCAAAGGGAATGGAGTTGATGATTTGAGGAAGAAATTTGAGGAAGAGACAGGGTTAGAGGGAATCATTGTGTGTAATAAGAGTCCTTTGAATGGAAAACTTTATCCTCTTCGTTTGCAGCTTCCTCCAAACAATGTCACTATGCATGTTGTTTTGGTTCTTCCCTTCTCAAAAGGTGAGAGTTATTTTTACCCTTTTTGATTGATTAGTCTAGTCTGCTGATTTTTCTGAACTTGATTCATCCTAAATCAACCAAATCCATAGGAATCATTGATGAATTGTTGGATATTGGTTGTTCTAATTTGAGTGCTTGTATTGCGTTTTAGCATCATTTACTTAAATTTGTTTTCTTTTTTTGTATTTCAGTGGCAACAGAGTTGGAGGCACAAGGTTTGCTTTGAGAAGCCAAATTTTGCAACACAGAACCTTTGTACATGCTACATACTAATTCAAGCTTGTGAGTGTAATATGTGAAAACATTTATGATTTGAGAATGTGTTACAACTTATAAGTTCCTCTTTGTACTAGTCCATTGCATTTATTCATCAGGTTCCTATGGAAGCATCTTAAAACAGTGATGGAAATGGATCATAAGTATAACAGCAATTACCAGTCATGAATGAATAGAAATAGGCATTTCTGATGGTGGATTTTGCTTGGACCTTTTTTTGTATTAATTTAGTGTTGTTCGATGGTTTTGTAATGTCTACTCTAAGGCATATGTATATATGAATTTATGATTTACTTCTGAAGTCTAGAAGCACTTTTTTTATCAGTATTTTTTTTCTCTTCCTAATTAGTTGCCTCTGATGTATAAAATATGTGTTCTCAAGTGAAATAAGTATACGAAAAGTGTAAATAATAAGCTCACCTTGATTTGAATAATTCAATACAAAAGAATGTATTGAATTAATAATCCAGAAATAAGAACAAAAAAAAAAATCCTTATTCCATTTTAAAATTTGAATATGAAGGTTATATCATGACCTAATTAGGGAGAAGATGAAGGTAATGGTACAAGAGAATCCACATCCATGCCATATAATTACTGTAGTAGTATAAAATTAGTATATTATTTTACATTTCTCAATTATTCATCTAGTAACAGAAAATATACTAAATGCAGAAATTATATTAAACATTTAAATAAATTTTCTATATGTTCTATCAAATTTTGTTGAATGTGTCAATAAATTTTTTTGTCGCAAGTATATTGTCTTCTATGTAAAAAGTCTTGAAAATCATTATTAGAATCATTCGGTGGAGCTGCCTAGATGCTCATAAGAATAATCAAAATATCATCATATGTGGCACGTTCATCTTTAACAATCATGTTGTGCAACATGATGCAACGCTTCAGTGAATCCAAGTGCCAAGATCGAACTGAGTTACGTATGATCGAAAATCAGATTTGGAGATGCTCGTTCGATATCCTTTCTTGCACATTTTTGATGTTGGACAAATAATTTTCTTTTATCCTCTTGTGGCATTGGGAATTGGGATATTTTTAACAAATGTTGTCCATTGAGGATAAATGTCATCAGATAGATGATAATCCATGTTGTATTCAGTTTAACACATTGATCCAACTACTAAAGAACGCATGTTAGATCCATAAGTCTTGTGAAGCGACTGCTTCAAGCAATAGGCTTACCATGATCATCTCGAACATATTGCCCTTTCAAAGCAACGAGGCAGTTTTTTTCATTCTCAATGCATATAATAATGCTCCATAACATAGTTAGAAAGCCATATGCCTCCCTCATTTGCTTGCAGCAGGCGTTGAATGTCTTCAACAGTTGGCTTTCGCAGATATTGTGGCCCAAATACACTGATACCCAGATATTGTGGCCTAAATACACTGATAACACCTCTTGAAAACTTGCTAACACGGTTCGTTTCACAAATATACAAGATTATAACAATGAAATGCTTGGTATGAATTGATTCAAGTTGTGTAGTCACAAGAAATATACATGTTAGTTCTTTGATTGGCAGCAATTTTGGTAAAACTTGGTATTATCACAAGGATGTCTTGACATATGGTCCTAATATTTTGCAGGTGGTTATTCTTAATGTTGCAGGGTTTTTATTCATGATGTCTTGACATATGTGTACAACACATTCAGTCTGAATGTTAGGGTTTGTCTGTTGCGTTTTTGTGCAATCATGGGTGCTTTTATGATAAGAGATTTTGCTGGAGCAAATCAACGTGGAGATCTTCTTTAAACAAAAGAGCTTCTGATAGATGATTCGTGGAGTACTGTGGAATCTTTTGTTCTATTTTCATGTAGAAAATCTTTGCAATCCTATTTCGCACATTAGAGAAGCTAGGGTTGTGAGTGTGCATTGCTTAAGGAATAAGGTTTCTACCTTATTGTGTTATTGTTATTTGTGAGTCATTCACTCTTCACCTTGATGTGTGAATTGGACTGAGTCTTTGAGTTGTAAGTTGTCCACTCTAAGCTTTTAAGCACGAGTGAATTGTTCTTGATTGAAGCTTTTAAGCAAGATCAAGTATTGTCCTTGAAGAGTGTCTTCTACATTTTAATAATCTGCTTTTATCACTATTGTGATTGAGGGGGAGTGAGAGGTGTATCTTATCTAAAAGTGTCTTAGATAGAAATTGCACTGGTAGAGATTAGGTGTGAAGATTGTAAACTAGAGAGAGTTTGCTGTGAATCTTCAAACTAATTTTGTTTAGTGAATTTCCTTCCTGGCTTGGTAGCCCCCAGATGTAGGTGTATTTGCACCGAACTGGGTTAACAATTGCTTGTGTCTCTTTACAATTGTTAACTGTTTTTTTTTATCTTGTTCATATATTAGTAACTGTTTAGATATTAGTGTCGTGACATCTCATATCTGATACCAGAATTTCAATTGGTATCATAGCAGGCATCCTTCTCTAGTTCTGGGTGAGATCTAGGGACGATACTTTCTGGTACTATGGACAAAGAAGGAGGAATTGTGAACAGACCACCTGTTTTGGATCAAAATAATTATCATTATTGGAAACCTCGCATGGTGGCCTTCTTGAAATCATTGGATAGTAAGGCTTGGAAAGATGTCATAAAAGGATGGGAACACCCTGTGACTATTGGGAAAGATGGAAAAGCTACATCTGACCTGAAGCCTGAGGAAGAATGGACTAAGGAGGAGGATGAATTGGCTCTTGGAAATTCTAAAGCCTTGAATGCCTTGTTCAATGGAATTAATAGAAACATATTTAGATTGGTGAACAATTGTGAAGTTGCTAAAGATGCTTGGGAGATACTCAAAACTAATCATGAAGGTACTTCTAAGGTAAAGATGTCAAGACTTTAATTGATAACTACCAAATTAGAAAACCTAAGAATGAAAGATGATGAAAGCATAAATGATTTTCATATGAATATCCTTGAAATAGCCAATGCTTCAAGTGCCCTAGGTGAAAAGATGTCAGAAGAAAAGCATGTAAGAAAGATTCTCAGGTCTTTTCCCAAGAGATTTGATATGAAAGTAACTGCATAGAAGAAGCTCAAGACATCTGCAAGATGAAGGTGGATGAACTTATTGGATCTCTTTTAACCTTTAAAGTGGGGATAAGTGAAAAATCTGATAAGAAAAAAAGCATAGCCTTTGTGTCCAATGCTAAAGATGGAGAGGATGAATGTGATGGGGATACTGATTAAAGCTTATCCAATGCTATAGCACTCCTTGGAAGACAGTTTAACAAGGTAATGAAGAGGATGGATATGAAGTCAAGACCAAATGTCAAGAACAACTCATATGACATCAGCAGGTCTAATGATGCTGGTAGAAGAACAAGGTCTGAAGAAAAATCCACTTAAAGCAAAGGGATTCAGTGCCATGGATGTGAAGGATTTGGTCACATTAGAGCTAAATGCCCTACTTACCTCAAGAAACAAAAGAAGAGCCTAGTTGTTTCCTGGACTGATGAGGATTCTGAAAGTGATATTGAAGAAGAATCTACTAAACATGTGACTGCTTTGACTGGGAGACATAACTCTGATGAAGACTCTAGTGATGATGAATTAACCTTTGAAGAAATTGCAGCTTCCTAAAAAGAGTTGTGTCTCAGAAGTGAAGAAGTATGTCATCAAGGAGAAAAGCAGAAGAAACTTATAATCAGGCTGAAGGCTAAAAAGGAAGAGCATATTAAAACTATCTTTGAATTGAATGATGAAGTTACACTGCTGAATTCCCAACTTGATCAAATGTCCAAGTCTGTTAGAATGTTGAACAGTGGTACTAACACTTTTGATGAAACCCTTCAGGTTGGAAAAAGGGCAGGAGACATGATTGGGATAGGGTCTGATGGAGAAAAGAAACCATCTTCAGACTATAGTCCCTCATCACACCATAATCCTTCTGGGCCTAAGCGAAATATGTCACATCAGATCTCTATGGAAGTTGTTAGAGGAATTCCTAAACTAAAGATTGAAGAAGGAAAAGTTTGTGGTGAATGCCAAATTGGAAAGCAAACTAAGATGTCACACCAGAAGATTAACATCTCACTACTTCAAAAGTGTTAGAACTCCTTCACATGGACTTGATGGAACCTATGCAGGTGGAGAGTCTTGGTGGAAAGAATTATGCCTATGTGGTGGTGGATGATTTTTCCAGATATACTTTGGTGAATTTTATAAGAGAAAAATCTGAATTGTTTGATGTGTTCCAAGATCTCTATGAAAGAATTCAAAGAGAAAAGGAGAGCAATGTGGTCAGGATCAGAAGTGATCATGGGAAGGAATTTGAGAATAAAAAATTTGCTGAATTTTGCTCATCTGAAGGGATTATCCATGAATTCTCTTCTCCTATTACTCCACAGCAAAATGGAGTCGTGGAACGAAAGAATAGAACTATCCAGGAATCTGCTAGAGCTATGATCCATGCATAGAAACTGCCTTACCACTTTTAGGCTGAAGCTATGTGTAACACCCTGTTCCCCAAAATAAAATAAATGCAATTAAAATAAACAATTATCAGAGTTTCACAAAAAAAAAAGCGAGATGTCACGAAAACAAACTCAACACAAAACATTACCATTAAATGATTTTCAACAAATATAACACAGCGGAAATTCGTCATCATATATATATATATATATATATATATATATATATATATATATATATATATATATATATATATATATATATATATATATATATATATATATATATATATATATATATATATATATATATATATATATATATATATATATATATATATATATATATATATATATATATATATATATATATATATATATATATATATATATATATATATATATATATATATATATATATATATATATATATATATATATATATATATATATATATATATATATATATATATATATATATATATATATATATATATATATATA